CACAGCCAGACCTTTGGTTCTGTTCAAAGTACCAATAAAAGAGAAATAAAACAGGAGACAAAGCCAGTGGTGATGTTTTGCCAGGACCTCACAATAACCCCCCAACAATCAGGATGTGGCTGTGTGCTGGAGAACTGGAGGGGGAAGCACAATGTCTGTATTCACAGGCATCTCCCCCAGCTCTCCGAATCGTAGGGGGAGATACAGGGAATTAATTATAAGGGCAGCAAACTCAACTGCACCCTATCACTTCCAAGTCCTCATTGGTATCACTGATTTAAGGACAACAATATCAGGAGAAAGAGATGAAACAGCTTTTGGAAATGAAAATGATGCCCCAGAGATCTCTTGGGTTCACTGGAGGAGTCACGTAGCTCATGCACAATGCGGACCCACTTCAATCTGTTTGCGGGGTCTCATGGAAACAGCTGTTAAAACGCAGCTCAGCTGCCACAGGACAGGAGGGAACATCCTCCAATGGACACAGAGCAGGTAGGAACCAGGGTAATACAACATGCTGCCAACATGGAAGAGGTGCTTCTGGCAGCTGTTTGCCAAAGCCGCCAACTTAGCTAGTGCAAAGGTAAAGGCTAGCTGTGGCCAGCTGCAGAGGGATGCTGAGCACTGGGAGGTGCAGCCAGAGATAGAACACGAGGCATGGGGAAAACAACCCTGATGTCCCACCGATAGTGGGGGCTCAGCCCTGAGCTGCCTACTTGCTTTCTCCAGAGAGAGCTCCGTGGACAGAGAACTGAAGCCAGTGGCACAGCTGGGAACAGGACACAGCACAGCTGTGTCACTGCAAAGCTGGATGCACCAAATCCCGCCTGGGACTCCCCATTTCCAAAAGGCAACAATGCAACCAGAAAAGGCACTTGCAGGGACAATCAGACATAGAGAAGAGTTGTGTGCTCCAGTGCGGAGCTGATAGATGACAAGCTTGAAAAGCAAGGAGATAGTATTTAGATAACCTCTTATGCTCCAAAAGTTCTTGTCAGATAATGCTGTAGGTGCTCAAAGCTTATATGGGCTTCAGAGATAACAGTGTGCGTTCACAGCAGAATTCAGGGCTGTTCAGTGAAAAGTCTTTCCTCTGGCACCAGAGCTGCTGAAGTATGATCTGAACAGGCCAGCAGGGTACCACTATTTTATTACATTGCTGTAGGGATACTCTCCTCCCCTTGGCAAAGGGTGTATGTGATGCCTTGTAAGAGTGCTGGGAAGCAGGAGCAATATATAACTCAGCAGAGATGGCCATGACATGGGGCTGGGACGGAGGTTTCACACCAACTTGCCTATTTCTCACCTGGCAGCAGGTCTCTGCCCCCAGCCATAGCCAAAACCAAGAGAAAGAGACTCCAAAGGTAAGGAGTACCCTTTTCCCAGGAGCTTCCTGCCCCTCAGCCCTTCCAGCTCAGGAGCTGGCAGCGAAGCCCCCACCCCCGGAGGTGCCAGCCTCACCATTCAGACACTCCATTTCAGGCTCCTCGCCCTCCGGGTGCTTCTTCAGCCTCTTGGCTTTTCTCCGTTTCTTGCAGTAGAACATCAGTCCCAGCACGATAATGATATAGGCAACAGCTGCCCCCACCGAAAGCCCAATGGTCTGGATCATCTTGTAGGGTGTGTGGCTGCCAGGTCCCTCATCCTCTTCTGCTGCTGGTTTGTCTGTGGGGCAGAGACCACCAAACTCATGAGGGTGCAGAGGATTTCCCAGGAATGTGATGGAGGAATCAGAAAAGCTCCCTCCGCTGCTGTGGCCACCTCCTCCTCCAGACTGCACTTCATCCTGACAGGGATGCTGCTTTGATGCCCTAGCAGGCATGACCTGGCCTACAGCACCCACTGGTGGGGCCAGAATCACAGAATGGTTTGGGTTGGGAGGGACCTTAAAGCTCATCCAGTTCCAATCTCCTGCCATGAGCAGGGACACCTTCCACTTGAGCAGGTTGCTCCAAGCCCCTTCCCTTGAACACTGCCAGGGATGGGGCAGCCACAGCTCCTCTGGGCACCCTGTGCCAGTGTCTCACCACCCTCGTAGTGAAGAACTTCTTCCTAATGTCTCATCTGAATCTCCCCTCTGTCAGTTTAAAGCCATTCCCCCTTGTCCTGTCCCTGCAGGCCCTTGTCAAAAGCCCCTCTACAGATTCCTTGTAGGTCCCTTTAAGTATTGCAAGACTGTTATAAGGTCTGCCCGGAGCCTTCTCTTCTGTTGGAGAGAAAAGGCGGCTCAGGGAGAATCAGGGCCTAAAGCTGCCAGGGAGGCAACGTCCCAGTGCAGGGCACTCCCTTACCTACGACGTAGAGGAAGGCCTCACGGTGCTTGATGTTGCAGCTATTGCCAGCGATACACGTGTATTTCCCCGAGTCCTCGGTGGTGACATCGTAGATCACGAGGGAGCCATTCGGCATGATCTGAATCCTGCCAACCACACAGAGCCCTTTGCAAGCCCCAGAGGGCACAGGCAGGCTTGGGGCACCTGTAGCCCCAGCTCCCCATGTGCCTCAGCCCCATGTCCCCAGTGCAACCATCCTGAATCAGGCTGTGAAATGCTCAAGAACAAATGATTGCGGCTCAACTGCAGCCCTGCAAGCTGTGGCAGAAAGGGTAACCCTGGGGCCAGGAGAGTCCAGACCCTGGGACATGGAGACAACTGACTGCGAGTCCCCCAAGCTGAGAACCCAAGACCACACCACTGGCACCTTGCATGCTGGGTAGGCATGGGGAGTGCCCTGCTGTGACACATTTCTGTTTGGAGTGGAGGCTGTGTACCTGGGCAGGAGCTTGCCGGGATCCAAAATCTTGTCCTTCCCTTTCCACTGGATGTGTGGTATGGGGTCCCCCTCTGCCTGGCACTGGAACATGGCTGTGTGCCCCTGGTACACTGTCGTGGGCTCTGGCTCTAGCTTGAAGGTGACGTAAACTGAAGGCAGAGAGGTGGACACAAACACTGTCAGCTCCTGGGAATGCTGCTGACCTCCCGCAAGGGAGCAGGACCAGCACCGACACAGGGACACATGCCTTCTCTGGCTGAACGCAAAGCACTGACAAACCAGACACTCAAGTGCCACGGGGCAGAGCTTCAGGTCAGGCCAGACATTTCCCTCTCTGCAGGGACATGCCAGTTGGGTGCCACTCAGGCAATGAGTGGCCACTGCAAGGCCAGCACAGCAGGAAACCCACCTGCCTACTGTCGAGCTCTCACCTGCTACCACGAGCTGCACGGTGGCACGGATCTCGCCCTGTGGGCTGTTGGAAGCGATGCACGTGTAGTTTCCTGAGTCGCTCCTGCTCACCTTGTGGAAGGACAAGATGCCAGCATTGTGGCTGACGTGGGATGGCAGGCTGCTCCCATCTGCAGGGCACAAGAAAAGGGATGCAGCAGTCGTGCATGAAGCACCAGGCAGCAGCAGAACTGCTACTTCACCAATGTTGGAGGTGGACCAATGCAAAGCTGCTGGGACCCCAGGTCAGGAACAGACATATCGCATCCAGATCCCCCCTACCTGTTTTAGTCCACTGGATGGTGGGTTTTTCCCGGCCAGTGGCTGAGCAGGACACTGTAACCTCCTTATCAAACTCCATGCACTGCAGTGGCTGGGGTGGCGGGGTGAACTTCAGCTTCTCTGCAAGAGACAGAATTGCTGATAACCCTGCAGCTGCAGAAGGCATCAGAGCTGGGAGTATCATGCCTGTACCCTGCCAGGCAAAAGAGCTGCCCACAAGAGGAGGATGTGGAGTGCTTGTCAGCCTACCCAGCACGTGCACCCGTGCGTATCCCTCGATGCTGCCTGCCGGCGTGCTGCTCACACACTTGTACATGGTCCCGTCATACACCTCCACGTTGTTGATGCGCAGTGTCCCATTCTCAGAGATCTCAAACCGTGAGTCCTGCCCAGAAGGAGGGAAGGAGCAGCGTAGAAACGTCATCAGCCCTGGGCTCAGACCCTGCTTGTGGAAGCTGACCCTCCATGTGCCCACACTGTGCCTCAGATAAACACAGCTCTCAGATACACACAGATAAACGTGCTGAGACTCATGCTGAGAACTGAGGCAAGCTACATTGACATCTCTGTTGCCACTGCCTCAAAAGCCCAGGGCCAGCTGCCAACCAAGTGGCTAGAGACAGCCAGCTGTGCACCCATACACCAGTATGATGTGGAACATGGCCAGAGTGGGGGTGAAAAGGATGCTGGACCTAGGAGCAAGGCAAGAAACAGCAGCAGCAGAGGAAGGAGCTGAGCAGGTGCCCAGCAGAAGTGCCCATGACTGGCAAGGGCTTGCCCCATGGCCTCACCTCAGAGATGGAGACGCCATTGCGGTACCACGTGACCGTGGGTTTCAGGGAGGCCTTGCTGAGGCAGTGCAGGTATCCCGGCTTGCTCTCCTCCAGCTGGCTGTCCTTGGGCATCTCCACCCACTTGGGTACCGCTGGGCACAGAGGAGAGGGGTTATGCAGGGCCACTCACCACCCCTCTGGCCAGCACCAGCAGACTAGACAGGCAGTGTGCAGCCAGCCATGAGAGAGATGTCTCTCAGTGGTTTGCCATCCCACCCCAGCTCATCCCAAAACCCTAACCAGCCCCATTCTCTGCTCCCAGCCCTTCTTGGAAAGCTGCCTACTAGCCACAGTGATGCTCAGCTCCTGTTTCTTCTCTCCAGCCTTGTTGGCAGCATGGCACGTATAGGTCCCTGCATCCATCTCAGTAATACTGGTGAAAACAAGCTGCTCCGCTTCTTGGTGCACCCTGCCAGTGGTGGGAACCCGCTCATGGTTCCTCTCCCACCAGACGTGGGGTGTGGGTATGCCTCGCGGGGCTGCGCAGGCCACGCGGTGCCCCTGGTTTGCCGTCAACACCTTCGGGGAGAAGGGTGCCATTTCATCGATCTCTGAGAGGAACAAGAGAGAGCAGGGCTCAAACAGAGCAGGAACATGTAACCAATTCAGCTGCACCACCACTGGAGGCACCAACCAAGGGACAGAGTGCACAAGCTATGTTTGCTCCTCTCATCCAGGCAGCAAGGAGTCATCATTTCACAGACATACCAAGCAGTTCTCCATGCACTGACCCATCGTTATATTGTCACATAGCTCCAGAGTGACATTGCAACTCTGGAACCCACTGCCCGCCCTGCCAGCACCCCCAGGACCTCACCTGCTAACCGCAGAGTCGCCTTCAGCACAAGAGCTTTCCCCCTCTGCCCATGGCCAACGCACTTATAGACACCGGTGCTGCGAGCCCTCACCTGGGTGATCAGCAGGGAGCCGTTGGCGAACACAGTGGTCCTGGGCACATGGAGAGAGGCAGGACTCAGTGGGCATCTCTGCAGGACATGGGCCAGAGCCACAACCCTCTGGTGTCTTAAATGAGGCAGTGGAACCAAGAGGGAGACTTTGTGCCAAGTCAAAGCTTCCCAGTGTGTGAGGGACAGCAGACAAACAAGGAGATGGTGGGACTCATGCTTCATGGAGGAAATGAGCAAATAGAAATCTATTTCTTGGAGAATCATAGAATCATTTATGTTGGAAAATACCTTTAAGATCACTGACACCAACCGTTAACCAAACACTGCCAAGTCCACAACTAAACCATGTCCTTAAGTGCCACACCTGCACATTTTTGAACTACCTTCAGGGATGGTGACTTGACCACTGCCCTGGGCAGCCTGTTCCAATGCTTAAAAACCCTTTCAGGGAAGACACTGTTCCGAATATCCAGTCTAAACTTCCCCTGGTGCAACTTGAGGCTGTTTCCTCTCCGAAGAGCTGGCTTCCACCAAAAGATGTCCCAAGTCTGGTGGGTGCATCACCAAACAGGGCATCACTGAATGCTGAGACAGCTAGGAAAGGGAGGAGGGGGCACAAGGTGGCGCCTGGGAGCTGCCAGGCCACTGGGCATCTGGCACCTCGACAGCAGTACTTGCCATCCACAGCCTGGCTGAGACATCCCAGGCTCCAGGATCACTATCCACAGGCAGCCGGGTCTGGGAGATGTCCCCAGCTCTGGGGATTGCCCCACACATAGGTGTCTGGGGCTCAGAAATATCGCTGGTGCTGGGGATCACCATGCACTTGTATCTAGAGGTACAAGACAACCATGGGCCAAGTGATCACTGGGGATCGCCACCTGTGGGCATCTGGTACTGGGACATGTCCCTGACTCTGGGAATTTTCCTAAGTGGGTATCTGGGGCTTGTGCTGACCCTGGCTCCATTAAATAGCCACACATGAACACCTGGGGCCGGGAGACATCCCCAACTCTGGGGATCATCATACGTGGGCATTTAGGACTGACAGCCCCACAGACGCATTGGAGGACAAACTGCTTGCTGAGTCCTATGGAGATAAAGACCATGCACAAGTGCCAAGGCCTGGCTAAACCCAAGCCACCCAAGCTGAGAAACCAATCCAGATGGCCAGCCTCATGTTGAATGCTCGCCCTCAGGCACAGCCAGGGTTTGGCCTTTCTCTGTTGCTTCAGGAACACGGTGGCCCCTCTCCTCCCAGCCCTGCCCTCATCACCGTGGTCCCTGTTACTTGGATCTGTTGGCAACGGGGCTGTCTTCAAAGAGCCACTCCTGCGTGGGGGGGGGCACAGCTGCAAACTGGCAGTCAAACATGGCCTCTTCGTTCTTGGTCACAATGAGGTCTTGCGGGATGATCACTGCCTGGGGAAAGCTCTCATCTGCAATGGAAGAGACCACAGGAGGGTGAGAAGCTGGGTGCACTCTGTGAGCCCCATGGAGGCAGATGTGCCAGCACGGCTGCAATTACGCAGCTAGAGCCTAGGACTGTGTATGGCAGCTGCTCTGGGGAAAGCCCCTTCTGCTCCCAGCAAGGCCCTGAGCACCCTGGGCTCCTCACAAACACATCAAACCTGCTGCTGGACTGAAAACTCCCTTATCCAATTCCAAATACCCCTCTAAGCTCAACATCTCCTGCCCCCCCTGTGTCTTGCCTCCAAAAGCCAATGGGGCATTCCACCCACGTGGCACCACCATAATACCAGTATTGGCCTAGCCGGCAGCATCTACAGACTCCAGGGTTCAAACCCTGCTGAAGGAAGGAGGACCGCTGAGCTCCAGTACCAGAGACAACAGCACAGACCTGCTCCAGAAAGGGGCAAATTAACACCCGTAGACAGGGTAGGGTCCAAACCCAGCCAGGCCTGTCTTGGTCAGAGGCTTTGCACAGGGAAAGTCACACCAGCTTGACATGTCCACTGCAGCCTGGCTCCCTCCCACCAGCAAAGAGCAGAAGAACAGCCAAGCCCCCAGACCTGAGCAGTCATAATACAACTCACCGATGATATTAATCGTGAAGTTGTTATGGCTGCAGACGAAGCCGACGGCACTGCGGGCACAGCAGTAATAGAGACCGTTGTCGTCAGGGCTGGCGCTCTGTAGGGTCAATGTTCGCTCCTTGTTGCTGACAGAATAGGTGCTACGGCCATCGGGAATTGGGGCACCATCCCGAAACCACTGCCACGTGGGGCTGCAAGACAGGGGCAAGAGGGTGACCAAGTGCTGGGCACTGACAGGGCTCCCCAGAGAGCATGTGTGCAGAGGAGACAGCCCAGAGATGGCCCGTTTCCCTGGATCTCCGTCCCCACGGCTGGCCCCGACACAGACACTAAGCCATGAGACATGCAGCCAAGTGGACAGGACATGACTGTAAAGCAACGGAGAGTGACCGCAGCACACCAAGCAGCTCAGCGACCGGACTGTGACAGCCCGTCCTTACTGTGCTCCTCGCTACGCGGCTCCGAGGAGGCCGTTTGCCTTCTCCCCCGGTGCTCAGCCACAGCCTCAATCAATCCTGCCTTTCGCCTTCCCTAGACTCTACTGAGTCCTCGCAGGAGAGAAAGACAGAGAGAGGGGGGAAGAGCACGCAGCGAAGGTGCAGGAGGACTCCCAGCAGGGTCCGCTCCTCGGGAGGCAACCCTTACCGCGGGTGGCCGTCGATGTGACACCGCAGCACCACGGTGGAGGAGGGCTGGATCTCAGCTATGCTGGCCGGCTGCTTCAGCACCACACTGCCTGTCTCAATCCCTGTGGGATCAAAGAATAACAACACAGCTGGCTCCCTAAACCTACAGAGCCCGGGTGGATGCCGACTCTCTAACAACCAGAGCATGCAACAAAGGCACGAGCACGCTTAAGAGACACATAAGCCCTCAAGCCAGCATGGAATAAGGAGACACCCACCACGCAAATGTCCCACTTTGCCCTGTGTGGCTGTTCTCTGATGGATAAGAAGGGCTCTGAAAGGATCTGCAGTGCTCATGACACACTTGGTGCAGTAACATCCCCCTTTCTTATACACAAATGGGGAAGGCAGAAGGAGAAATCATCTCTGACAGCCTTGGGGATACCAAAAGATACAAGCAGCCTAGAGTGCATGAAGGACATGGTAGGTGGAGAGGAATCCTACTTGCACAGTTCATGCCATCTAATCCCTGTCTGACCACCACTCCCACACCCATTAGCAGGCAAACCTGTTTCCGGTCTCAGGCCCTTTCAAGAGAGTTTTGCCCTATCCACAGTGGGCAGCAGCAGGCTGTGGCATGTGCTTGGCTGCCCTCGCCACACACTCACACTTGATATTGAAAGATGCATTGACTGTGCGGGCCTCTTCCCCAGTGAGCAAGTTCCTGGCTACACACTGGAAGTCCCCGGCATCCCTGTGCCGATCGACAGCAGCAAACTGGAGGTTGCTGCCTTCCTTGAAGCGCTGCTCCGTGTCCTGAACAGGGAGACCGTTCTGCAGCCACTCGAACTCCACGTGTGCTGGCTCCTCCACCTCGCAGCGGAGGATGGCGCTGCGGCCGTGCAGGGCATCCTGGGAGTACGGCTCCTTGGTGAAAAGGATCGCTGCCCGAGCCCCCACAGCTGTGGGACACAAACAGGAGAGCATGTTAGAGCACAGGCATGGGAGAAGGGACTAGGTAACCATGTGCTGTTCCCAAGGGTCTCTAGATCAAAACCACTGTTAGGAGACATATACCCCAAAGCACGTCTGAGAAAAACAATCCCCAGTGAGGGAGTTTAGACAGATTCCAGCAAAGCTGCCTTAAGGCTGTGTCTCCAGCAATCACTGGAGAGCCATCTTCTCCCTGGGACAGGGGCATTAGGAGGGAACTCCCCTGACCGCTACTGAGTGCTGCACTTCCAGCCCAAGCAGAGAGGTGTCCTGCATTGTGTGAGCCAGGAAATCAGTCACCAAAAGATCAGAGCGCAAGCAGCTCCCTGGGCAGTTCAGCTCTTTCTTTGAGCTCCTCTTGTCCTGTTTTCTGGGACATGTCCTAAGTCCCAGCCATGCATCAAGATTGCCCCAGATCAGAAACACGCATGAACTGCTTCTTGGCTTTCCTTAAAGCTTCTCTCCTTGGGATCATGTCTCCATCTCACCTCCACACGCTCAGAAATTACCCAGAAAAACCTGGTCTGGAACGAGGATTGCCATGGGAATAAACACAGCACGAGACAATGTAGCAGTGACACCCCCAGCTCCTGCTTGGGGGGACTCAGCCCACTTGCAAGTAGGAGCAGCAACAAGAAATCGAAGTGGTTGACCTCAGGGTCTGATAGTGGCTGTGGGGTGGCTCTGGAGGACCGGGAGCATCTCTCTGCAGTGGTGGAAAAGCTGAAGAATCCTCCTCCACACACTAACCCCCACCCAAGAGCTCAGGGTCCTGGGGACAGAGCAGCCAGCGCTTCCCTCCGCACTGCCTGACATAGCTGCAGGGGGACCACATCAGCACATTCCCAAATCTGGCTGCTGCCTGGCCATGCAGGCACTGTGCTCCGGTTACCAGCTGGCTGCAGAAAGGAAAGCAGACAAAAGGCAGTTCAGCAGACAGCGACTGTTGTCGGACTCTGTTCCCAGGACCATGTTCTGCAAGGAAAGGGGCCAAGACAGGCAGATTTTGAGCATCTTATAAGCAATCTCTCACGAGGGTGAACAAGTGGTCAAAATGGTGTGTTCACACCACCACAAGGAAAATGGCATCAGAAGGTGGTTGCCTGGATGAGTTACACGAGCAGGAGATCCGACCCCACCTGAAGGGCAGTTCCTCTTTGGAGGCTCAGCTACATCCTCCTGAGTGGTTGTCTAAAAGTCTGGTAAAGGGTCACAATTTGACAGGACATCTCAGTCACCCACAGCTAAGGGCAAAGGATCCTATTCTGAAGGGTATGTTTTGACAGGAGCATCTAAATCACCACATTCCAGGAAGCCTCAAGAGCCCTTTCCATGCTGGAAAGCCTTTGGAGCTAACCATGTAGCACAATCGCCAAGCAAAGCCTCTCCTGCCCGCAGTGCTTATGGGCACCCCAGTGCCAGCCACACACTTCCAGTACAGCCAACCTGTGCTCTCCAGCTCACAGAAATAGTGAGGCATAAACAGAGGTGCTCATCCAGCACTGCTGCTCCCCAGGATGAGGTTCCAGTGAGGACCAGGGGCACCTCAGCCTTTGTCTGTTAACACACTTTCCACGTACTCCAGACAAGAGAGGGCAACAAAGCCACAAAAGCCTGGCTTTCTACCTTCAGCATCCCATTGTGCCACTGACTGTGCTGTGCAGGCAACTTCCCCAGGGGACTGGCCCCAGCCAGTTTAAATCCCACAGCTCTTGACGGCACTTGTCAATTGCACTCAAAAGTATTTAAGGCCACTGGAAGTAGCCACAGACTGACCCCTGTGGCCTGAATGACAGAGCTGCAGACAACGCCTGAAGTCCTGTCTCCTGGATCCCATATTGAGCTAAGCCCCATCAGCGTTCTGTGCTCTAAGGGTCAGCATGTCCACTGAAGTTTCCATCATCAGCTACCATGCACCTCCCCAGACGGACATCATCCATTGGTCTGTGACAGTTGCTCATAAACTCCACAAGATGAACACATGCCCCAAGGTGACAACGTACAGGAATGTATATTCTTACATAGGTACACACATCTTGTTCCCCACATATCACATCTGTCTCACCAAAAGCACTCAGCGAGGTAGCAACCACCCAACCCCACATAAACACAGCTACACGCCCAATAGCACAAAAGCTCCAGAGTATCAGGAGCTGAACTCATCCCAAAACAGGCTGCTGGGACAGACAGGAACAAAAGGCAACAGGACAGTCAAATCCATTCAGGTTTGAACCTAAAGGAGCTGGGTCTATTCTCTTCCACAGGTATTCTTCAGGGTACCAGGCTCATGTCCATCAAACCATACTGGTATAGCACAAAACATATGAAAGGCGGCAGCGTGCATTAGGAGAGCTCATGAAGGAGATGGATCAGTTCTGCTCTTGGGATCTCAGTCTCTCTTCACAGTCTACTAGTCATACTACTGCTGGAGTTAGTGATGAGGCACTTCTCTCTGAAGGCACAGGCCACTAGGGTATTAAGACGTGGTATTTTAAATTAGATATGCTTCTAGCATTAAACTGTCAGCATTAGCAGTGTAACACTAACCAGCAGCAGAACTGCTTTTCTGCATCACTGCCAGCACAATGGCATTTCACTTGGCGCTGGTCAGCCAAGAGCTTCAGCAGCCTTGTCACATGCATCCTGCTGTTCCAGCATCCCCCATGTTCAGGCAGAAGGATGTGGCTCTGTGGACAGAGGATGTGATGAAGGCTTGGCACAAGCTCCACATGGGAAGCAGGTGTCAGAAAACATTGGGACCTAGCTCCTTGGTGAGACAGAAGAAAATATTTATGTCCTTCCATCCTGAATAAAATGAACATTTTGGCTCAAGTGAGATCCCTGTGATGAATGCCTCATGAGCACAAGTGCCAAAGCAAACTGGGATACGTAAGTGTTAAAGTTCAATAAGAGAGCCACAAGCCTTGTGTTTTGACAATAGCATTAAGGTGCCATGAATGGACTGGTTGCACATGGCTGGAAACCATGGTCCCAACCATATATCAGATTTGGGCTGCGAGGAAAGACCAGTAGCAGTCAAATACAGTCCAGACATTTTGGGGTGGAAGACATGAGAAACCCATGGCTGGACACAGCTTTCCACAGTACTCTAAATCCAGAGCACCAGAGCCCAATGTTCAGAGATGGGAAGTGCTGCATTTGCCCATAAAAGCTGTACAGCCCTGATTCAGGAAATTACTGCAGTTGGCAGGATTCACACATCCTCTCCATCCCCTCCAACTCGTCTGGGCTTTTGGGACAGAGGCTCAAGAATCCTATCCAAGCAGAGAGCTATCTGTGTGGGATGCCATTATGTCAGGATTTGGGAAAATCTGTATAAAGTCAGACATCACCACCTGTGCCGAATGAAGAACAAAATACCTCTGCTTGTTCCACTCACCCAGCTAGAGGACCTCTCAGAGCCACGGCGGGCATGGCTTAGACATTTCCAGAACTGCCCAAGCTGGCAGATGAGAGCTCTTGCAGTGCTTGGTGGAGAGCAAAGTGGATCCCTGCTCAGCCTGAGTGAATACCTTCACAACAGCATGTTCCTGCTGTGGTTTCATGAGCTAATCTGGGCTGGACTGCACTGCTAGGAGCTGCTGGAAGAAGCAAAAGGACTCTCTCTTCCTTTAGCAAAAGCCACCCCCAAAAATACCCAGCAACACTAATTTTGTTGGAAGTCAATTCAGCAAGCCCAAGCTAGTGCAGAGCTCTCCCCATCTAACACAGCTGGGCCAGCCGCAGTCCTGCAACGCCAGTGCCAAGCAGCAGTCCCAAATGTGCGTGCTGGCAAGACCCACTCCCTGCATATGTATGTGACACAAGTCACCCCTGACTGGGAGAGACAGAAACCCTCAACACATGTTTCTGGCCTAAAACCATTTCAACTGTGGCTACAGAAAGCTTTTCAGGAAAGCTGCAGCCAGATTAGATAAACACATCTGAAATGCAGCCTGCTTGAAAACAAATGGTGTTTTACTTACAAGATACCTAACTGAAATGCAAAGGTAATAGATGACGGTTAAGTGAATTCTGTAGGGAAGTCATACTGGTACATATAGGTCCCCATGGTATTACTAACACACCAAGGAGCAAACTCTGTGTAGAGACGGGACAGGCACCATAAGGATGCACAAGGATGGGGAGAAAAGGAGGACATATCACATCCCAGCTCTGCAAGCATACTTATGGGAAAGATCTGTATGCAGTAACACAGCATGCTTCATGCAGAGGCACCCCTGCTCAAAATTAATTTCATTTCTTTAAGGAGGCAAATAGCAGCTTCCCAGGGAAAAAAAAACCCACTCAATAACACCTGCATTGTCACTCTGAATCTCTACCAAGTCTATCTCAATTAGCTTTTGGGGCTTGGGATACCCCCAGGACTCAGCTGTTGCAGCCTCCTCCAAAGGCCACAGTGGGCTGAGCATGTGCAGAGCATTTCAGGGTGACAAAGCCAGCAAAGCCACATCCAGGACAGACCGCGTGAGCAGACCTATGAAGTTAGACACTGCTGTCTGCAGAGCAAGTTCTCAATCCTGTGAGCTTTGCCACAGGGAGCAAAGGGCTCTCCACACGTCTGGCAAAGGAGACCAAGCCCCTCGGTAGCCAAACCCCTCAAGTGCTGCCACAGCATTACTGAAGCAATTTGGCAGCAGACTGCAGCACAGCCTGGGAATGGCTTTGGTCTGAGCCATTCTCCGGAGCTAGAACAGCGAGAGACATCAGTGTTGCTGTTTTCATCAGCCAGAGCCATAAGAAAATGCACCAAGCCAGTAGTAAGGATCTGAAGGAGCCACGGCAGAGCTGGGGGCTAGCACTGGGAAACTGGGGCTAAAGTTTTGGGGGATTCCACATCCTGTTCCCAACTGGGCAGCACCAGTTTTGGTACGTTCCAGGCACAGAGACACTGTCAAGTTCTAAGGCTGTATTTAGGGATGCAGTTAATGAGAGATCCTGTGGCCCT